AACTCGAATCAAATCAAATTGAAAGATTTTATAAAATAAATTTGACTCGACTCAACTCGAAAAAAGAGAGTCGAGTCGAGTTGATCTTTAAACTCAACTCAACTCGACTCATTCGGAACTCTAATATTCTTTATCTATTAACTATCTTTGATAAAAAAAAAAATAACAAGGTATTTGAAAGAGAATCTCAATATACAGCAGAAGGATATATCTCGTGACAAATAATAGTTTATCAATCATCAATATATTGTGTTTAATAATCATGTTACTATTAAATGATGATCTACCCCAGTATCGCCCAACATTTTTACAAGTAAAATTTCTCTTTCACGTGACCTGTGACATATAAGGGGCGTGAAAAAAAATATTTTTCACTTAAAAAATTCTCCGTCCCCGGAATACTAAACGCTGATGGTGTTGACAAATTATATAAGGTCACGTGGGGTGAAAAAATACTGGGGTAGATATGATGATGAGTAATCAAACTTTCTCGAAACTTTTTGCCAATATATATGAATACTAAAACTTTTTTCTAATATGAAACTTAAACAATAAAGATTCTTTTGACGTGTGAGCTGGTTAAGGAACGCGAAGGTAAAAGGTAAACCATTCCTTTATTTGATTATTTTTATTTTTATTTTTATTTTTTAGTTGTCGGGTTGGATAAGAACGCTAAAGGTCAGAAAGAAGGTAAGCCATTTACAATATGTATTTTGCTTTGTTTCTTTTTTTTTTTTCTTTTTTTTTTTAGCAGGAGGGTTGGAAGATAAGAAGGTATGTCATTTCTTTATTTGCTTTTTTTGTTTGTTTTATTTTTTGGTAGGCAGGCTAGGTAAGAAGGTAAGCCATTCCTTTATTTGCTTTTTGTTGTTTTTTGACGTGAGGGGTTGGATAAGAACGCAAGGTATGTCATTTCTTTATTTGCTATTTATTGTTTGTTTGTTTTATTTTTTGATGGGCGGGTTAGGTAAGAAGGTAAGCCATTCCTTTTATTTTTGTTTGTTTGTTTTTTGGCGTTGGATAAGAACGAGGTATGTCATGCTTTTTATTGTTTGTTTGTTATATTTTTTTGGTTAAGTCATTTTTTTTTGTTTTATCGCGGGTATGTCTCTCTTTTATTTGCTTTTTTGTTGTTTTTGGATTTTATGGAGCAGCATGATGTTTACGCGTGGGTGGGGGCGTAACATGCTTATCTTTGGTAAGCCCGTGGGTACCCAGTTTTCTGGCAGTCTCATGGTAGGGCTGGTTGGGTATTATCGGAACGGCATAGTACTGTGCGTGGGAAGGAGCATAGACGCTTACATTTCGTAAGCCTATGGGTACCAGCTTTCTGCTGCAGTCTCGTAGTAGGGCCGAAGTATTTTGTTTAAGAAAATCTTTTCATATGAATACGCAAGAATATTTGTTTAACTGAATTAACGAAATTACGAGCTCCTTAAGGAGTACTTTATTATTTACCAATAGTGAGGAAAAAATAAAAAATATTATATTACATTTTAAATAAAAACTTTTAAACGCGAGGTCAAACAAAAGCAAAAAATTGTATTGTTTTTGATGAATTTTTTTTTTTTTTTTTTAATGATTTGCGAGACTGGAGGTGCATTTTGACAAGTATAAATCGTAAAATAAATCGTAAGAAAATCAAATCTTTATAAATGAGTTGATGGTTCCGTTCAAATTTACTTTTGCATTTCTAATGTGATGCTTGATGTTTCAGCTATTTTTTTTTGATAAACCAAAGTTTGATATACAGTATATTGTCCAAGTTCTTCAATTACACATTAAGGAAAGGAAATTAATCTCGATTTATAGTAATTTACAAAATAAAAAAAAAAGAGAATAATATATTAACAGATCGTGATGAATAATATCAATTGGAATATTTATCCTTCTATTCAAGTTCATTAAAATATTCACCTAGATATTTTTTAACGAACCCCCCTGTCGGCATACTCAGGAGTAAAGTTTATAAAAAAAGAAAGGGATTTTCAAAAAAAAAAAAGAAAAAGAAAAAATACTTTTAATTGAATTAATTGAATGCAACGTATTAAGAATTATTTTACCAATGGAACTTTAACTATACCGAGAATTATTTATTAATTGAAGGATTTAAAATCCATTTACGAATAAAATAAAAAAAAAATAAATAAAGAATAATTAATATAATAAACAAATTTCATCCTCTTTGATGATCTCTTTAAGGGTTATTAAAATAAAAATTTTAATCACGAACGATACTTCCAGGTCTGATAATCCTATTGAATCCTTAGGATAATCAATGAAATGTGTTTGGAGGATTTTTTACAAAATTAAGACCGTGTGCACAATTTTACATGATGTACGCAATATTAAGGGTGTACCTGACTGTATAATTGATGTGAGGTATGATGGTAAAAAAAAAAAAGTGACATTATTCGTAAAAAGATAATCTCGACGTTCGTAAATTCCGCGTAACTTCATATATAACTTCCTTTCGTACCCGTGGGATGTGTAAAATCCTATTTAATGTTAAAATATTAACATCTTTAGAAATTATCTCAGAAACATTCACTATCATAAGAAAAGAATATTATTATTTTGTTACGTAAATAAAACGTTTTCGTTTTTTTTTTTCGTTATAGAATAAGTATTCCGTGAAAAGATCAAAATTTTTGATTGTAAATCATTTTAAAAGGAACAAAAGGAATTTCACAAAAATAACGGATAAACGATTAATTAAAAGAATCGGAGAGGGCTTCTAACAAAGGTTACTCACCGATTTTAATGAAGTACATTTATTTACATTTTAGTTCGAACCGGATTATCAATGGTAGCTTTTATTAGAAGTTCCCCAGTCTCAAATATAAACCAAATATAAGCAATTGCCTGCCTTCTATGAGGATGTTATTATACCTAAAAATTATGATATATATCATTGGAACCGAATTTAAGGGATTGGTCTTTGGGAATTCATAAGAATGGTCTAACTAAATCTGGAAATCATAATTATAATTAAATAGGTAATAATCTGATGATTTTCAAACTCTCCTGAAATTAAACATGAATAACGGCTAATTCAAATATGGTCCAACTATACGTTGTATTGAATTAACAAAATTAGTGAAGTAAACATTTCGTATCGATGATATAAAATTACGTTTAGACATAGCTCATTTTTTTTCTTATAAAACCTCGCGGATTTTTATCAACAATTTAATTTAAAAAAAAAAGAAAAAAAGTTAAAAATGTCTACTCCAAGAGTCAAACTTAACGATAAAATTCCCGACAATTTATACTTTAGTGTATTGAACAAAGGAGAAGATGTTCCCCATGAAGTTTCTTCCGCTGAAATTTTCAAGGGAAAGAAAGTGGTTATCTTTGGAATTCCTGGTAATATATTACTTTTTAATAATACGTACTCGATTGACCATTTTTTTTTTTTTTTTTTTTTTTTTTTTTTAACGATTCATTTTCAATAATTAGGCGCTTTCACCTCCGTGTGCAGCTCAAAGCACTTGCCACAATTCATTGATAAAACAAAAGAATTTAAAGCTAAGGGTGTTGATACCATCGCGTGCACCGCAGTTAACGGTTAGACTACATCTTAATATCGTACGTTCAATTATTGTTTAAGAAGAAATATATTTAAAAAAAATTTTTTTTTTTTTTTTAAAAAAATTCATTAGATTCTTATGTTTTGCGTGAATGGGCAGAAGCTTTTAAAAATAGCTCCGAAATCCTCATGTTAGGAGATGCAGAAATGTCATTTCATGGTTATTTTGGTCTTCTCCAAAAAATCCCTTTGATTGGTACGCGAGGACAACGTTTTTCAATGTATGTTGATGATGGTGTCATCAAAGTTTTGAATATTGAAGAACCTGGTCCTCTTAGTTATAAAATTAGTGGTCCTGAACATATGTTGAAAGATTTGAAAAATTTGGGCTTGTGAGATTTTTTTTTTTTTTTTTTTTTTTTTTTTTTAAAAAAAAAATATATCGGTGGGAAATGATTGTTTTAGTCAAAGAAAATTGCAAAACAAAAAATGTTGGCATTACACTTTGATTATATGATTGACAAATTTTAATAAATAAAACACTAATTTAGAAAATTGGTAACCAATTATGTCAATAAAGAACTCATTTTAAAGGGTGCATGTGCATGTACAACTAATTAAACCCAATACAATAAATAAAATAAAAATTGACAAAAAAAAGTTTTTTGAGGAATTCCCTTCACACATTAAACCGTCAAATATTCTTGTCAAAATGACTTCAAATATTTCTCAACCTTTAATAACGGAACAACCTACTACTTTATTACTTTCAACGCCAAAACCAAAACCAAAACCAACGTTTGCAACGTTACCACTGGAACTTTACGATTTCATCTTCATTCACTGTAAACTACGAGATTTACATTTTAATCTTCGATGCACAAATAAATTATTTTATAATTTAGTTTCTCCATTTATTATTTATCAATTACGTAGCGCCTTAATAACTCAACCTTTGTTACAAAAATATGATCAAGAAGTTTCTATCCAAGGCAATGTTTTAAATATTAAATTAAAATTAAAAATACCTCCTTTTGAAATTTTACCTTGGAATATTAAAATGAAATTATGTTATAGTACTGAGAAAGTTGTTGCCAAGATCGTTAAGGTTGTTAGACAACATGAAATAAAACACGAGATTGGTGTGGAAAACATGGATAAGGAAAATAATCCTTCAAAAAAGAAATGGACCTGGGTCGATTGTTAAAACTTGTTAAACTATTAGGATTATTAGGGGACTTATGGTCATCACATTTTAAAGTTCAAGAAATAAATATATTTAGTTATAATTCATATCATCAGATTGAAAAAACGATCTCAAGAAATTAGCTTCCTTTTCCATTTCTTCAAAGCTTCTAGGAGGTCTCTCTTCATTATCAACTTTAGTAGATTTATCAATTTCTCCATAAATGTCATCATTGTTCGCCCAATCTCCTACTTTTCTTGGGATTATATGTAAATGACAATGTGGTACCTAATAATATATTAAAATTATTTAAGTATAGCATCAATTATAAGAAATAAACAAACGAAAACGTACTGTTTGTCCAGCTTCGGGTCCATCCTGTATTATCGATTGTTAAATGATTAATAATTACTTATAAATACTTATAAATTCTTATAAATACAGAATTTAATTATGATTTTTTTTTTACTTGCCTGAATTGTTAAAGTCAACGAAGTTCCTTGATATTCTCTTTCAACAACTTGACCAATTTTTTGTGCACTCAAAAATAAATCGGTCACCTAAAATAAAATAAAGGTTATAAAAAAAATATAAATTTATCAAAATCATTCTAGAATTCTTACTTCATCGGAATTCAAATCACGGTATCTTTGAACTACGCGAATTGGTGCTAACAAAATGTCTAAATATTTTATTTTATTTGAATGTAAAGAATTTTACAAGCGCATATATACACGAAAGTTGTTAATAAAAGGATACGACCGCTATTAATATTTTAAGGATAGATCAATAAAAAATAAAAAAAATTTATCAAATTAATGTTATTTTATTACTTACTTTGCAACTGGTTTTAAATTGACAAATCCAAAACATTTCTTGGAAAGAAAAAATACTTGACTTGCTCGAATAAGATGTGGTCCAAACGTATATGTTTTCATTTCTTCAAAAAAGTCTAAAAAAAAGTTCGAATTTTTTATATGTTGAAAATCCTGGTAACGATTGGCATGATACATTTTGATAAGTTAGGGACGCGCGCTCATAATTTACTCCAAAAAAAAAAAAAAATGTCTTCACATGGCACCTTGCATAATTCACACTCATCAAAACATTCTTCCTTCTATTCCTTTCAAGATAAAAATGAATTTCTTCAACGATCCCCTTCTCTATCAAACTTCAGTAACGGAGAAAGACAAATTCATACACCTACTTACACCAGAAAGTCAACTCGGCATATTTCTCAATTGGAACCTGATACTACTGCGTTATGGGGTTGGGTTCTTTTATTAGCCGCTTATTTTATTTTTGTATTCAGTATGTATGCTATCGTCGTTAGTAAGTTTGTTCCTGAAACCGGAAACAAGGTAATTAAATTTATTTCTATTCTTGTTTTTTTAAAAGAATTAAGAATATTTAATCTCTTTATTTAGACGCTTGATTGGATTAAGAGGGATGAATATTATTGCCTTTTAGTTCCACTCACATTACCAGTAACAATATATGCGATATTCTTTAATTGGTTGGGCATGAAATTTTTTAGACATAATTAATTAAAATAATTAATAATAATAATATTGTAAAATTAATATGAACTAGATAATATAAAAATTTATCATTTGTAAATAGTTCATTCGGTTCATTAAGGGAAAAATAATTGAGACAATTTTTATTCCCTATATTTCATTAATAAATGTACAAGAAATCAATTTTAATAAAAACAATCAAATAAATTTCCCTACCTTAAGCCCATTGACTTACCCGTACTTTAGAATTATAGAATCGCTGTAAATATTCTTAATACTCCTCTTCAATATTTCTCCACAGTATTTTCACTACCACTTCATCATTATACCAAATTTCTTCTTCATTCTTCTTTTCAACCATAGCAATTGGTGTTGCTTCGTCATTATTCTCATTTTCTCCCATAACAGAAAGGTCATTAAGTTTGAAATTTTGCATTCGACGCATCAAATACGTGGTAGCATCTTTTACTCGTTGTTTCATTTCATCATCTCGTTTATTAATGGTCCAATCCTCATGTTTCACCATTTGCCTTGCTTCCCTTGCAAGTATTTGCATCGTCAGACGTGACCTTGTGTTTGAAAATGGTATATCTTCCTTACTGTCTATATTCAAACTGCAAAGATGTTTCATTAAATGTGCAAAATATTCAACTACGGTGGCAAATTGAACGAGTGGTGATATATGCGTGAGTTGTATATATATCTGCCCGTTATCTACAAAATAATATGATATTAAAAAAAGAACATAACACCAATAAAATCTGACATCAGTTCAATTGATTAACCTTCTCTCCATCTGACTTTGACACCATTCGCTGTAAGACATTTTTGTGTAATCATATTCCACCAAATACCGGCACCACTTTCATCTGGTATTTGATCAAATGTAAGACTTTTTAAACATTCAATTGCTCGGTCAGATCCGAGTTGCCTTATAAATAGAAAAGAAATTAACTATTGAGAATATTTTCTCGAGTAATAACCAAATGATTCGAAATGATTCTTTAAGGAGACCTTACTCTATTGTCACGTCAATAGGATTAAGTAATTTCCTAGTTGGATTTAATTCTGTAGAAGTTATCAATGTATCTAATGTGACCAATTCGCGTATTCTAGCGTCAAATAAACTAGTTAGAATTAAAATAAAACATTTGAAAAGTAAATGGTGGTCACAAGAAACTTTCAAACCTTTCTCCATGGACTATAAAAATATCCACGACCTTTTCGTTAAATTTTCTTGTTACAACCCACATTCCATAATCTAATTTGTTAAAATAGGATAAAGAATACCCAATTTGATTGAGTCTAGAAGTTGACCTATTCCTTCGCAGGATCCTTGGCTTATCAAACTTCAATTTCAATTCTTGATCAAGAACATCGGTCAACGAAATAGCAAGACGGTTATCATTTGCTGGTTTTTTTTTAAGATGTTGCCCTGTGGCCACATTACTATTATTATTATTATTTGTACTAGGTGAAAGATTTATCGCGCCAGATTTAATTAAATCATCAATTGTGGGTTTTCCTATTGCAATAGTCCGAACGCCCGTCTCCTTTCCTTGCATTTGTTGATTGTCCGTTAACGTTGATAATGATCCAATAGAATCGTTATGCAATCGATTAGAATTAATTTCGACTTCAGATTCGGAATGTACAATTTTATCTTTATTTATAGAGGATGCTTCTGTGAAATCACGATCTTCAAATTCATTAAAATCGTTTCTAGATGTCTCGGAAACAAGAACGTCTTCCATATTATCATCAATTCTTGGACGTTTGCACATGACCTCTGCAATATCATCATCAGCAAATCGTTCATTACTGTTTCTTTTATCTATCAAACCATCCATAAGATCAGAATCAATTATATCACTCTCTAATTGTATTCCTTTATTGTTATACGGATTGATCAGATCTTGGATAACAGGGCCTTCTTTTTGCATTGCTGCAGATTTATCATTTGGAGGCGTTAATAAAAGATCTTCAATCCCCCTATTATATTGAGACGGTAACTTGTTACGAGTAATCACCGCTCTATTATAGTTCTGAGACGGGGATTGATTGACACCATCTCTTGACAATAATGAATCTTCATGAGATAGCGAATCAGTGTTATTATTTCGTGATACGTCACCTGACCTGTCATTCCTTCCTTGTTCATCATAGTTAACGGGACTCGTTATTTGTGGCTCAAGATTAGTTGGAGTAAATGGTACTTCAACATTCTGCGTTTGACAATTCTTTAACCAATTATCAATAGTTCCATCTTTATGACTCGAGTTGACATATTGAACTCGGTCAGATCTCTTTGTAAAGTTATGTCTTTCCCTAGATCCTTCATCATCATACATTTTTAGTTTACCTTTATCAACTTTAGCTGGATGAATTTCTTGTCTCACATAATGTCTTATATCATTACTTATATTAGATGATATCTTTCTCATACGCGAAGCATCAATTTCACGATCGTGAATTGGTGTTGTGGTTCCAGATACACGTTGGCTATGCCTATAAGACGATTCAGAACGTGAAGGCGAACACGACACTAGGTCATCTCTTTTAGATGAACGTATATTGTAAAATTCTGATGTCGAAGGTGGAGTACAACTCTCTTGAATCGTTCTATCTAATGAATCCATATTCATTTCTTCAACATAAATATCTCCATTGCTCAAATGTGTAATAATTAGTTAGCATAATTATAAATAAGAATTGATTTATCAAAATTCGGGATCAATTTACCTATTTGTGTCCTCATCAAGTATTGACTCGATGGGTTGATCCCCTTCCATAGTAACGTTCGTATTCTGCACTTCCCGCTGATTATTTAGATCATAGAACATTTCCAACAAGTTACTAACGGCCTCAATTAAACGTTCTCCATGATGAAAGAGCGCAACGTTCTTGTTTGGTTCAACATTTACTGTAATATACCGAACCATTCAATAAGTAATCTAAAGAATTTACAATCATGATCAACGACATACCGTCATAAACCCAAGTTGGTAGCTTGATGTTTATCCACATAAATGGTGTCTTCGAATTTCCTAAATTTAATGAATGATATTGTAATAAGGTAAATAACCAAAAAATATTCGTTTTCCAGAATTATTATAATTACCCGTCCATCCATTCTGACATGCCATTACATTATAAACGGATTTCACCATCGACACGAGATTCTTTATTTCCCCTCTGGTTGTTGTTACCGGACGATTATTTACGTAAATAAAAGTTTTGCCATTCTTGAAAATTATTTGTGAAACAGCATCAGGTTTCGGTAAAATGGCTTCAAGAGTAATAATATATTGAGCTTCCGTATTATCATTTCCAACGTTTTCAATATCTTCAGATTTCGAACTCCATACACCAAATTGAACTTCATTAGCCAATTCATTACCGAAGAGCTTTATTACAGCATCCATTGTATTTTTCATTGCAGGTTGTATCCAATTACCCTCATTAAATTTTAATTTTGAATTATTCTCATAAGTCTGTTTTAACGAAAATCTTATACGTGGATGTGCTAACGCATAGATTATTAAAAGATTTTGAACGTTTTTCCCAATCAAGGAAGAAATTTTTTTTGCGACTTGTCTTCGAACCGGAACGTTTGAGAATAATTTTATGGCTGTAACTGTGGTTCCAGGACTCGATCCTGATGATTTTGCACTTTAGAAATAAATTAAATCTTTGAACCATTAACCTGTAACGATGAAGAATTTTTATTTTTTGTTACATACTGCAATATCCTTCCAGAATGATCAAGCGTGTAAAGAATTGCAACCGGATCATTTTCAGTCTTTGTAGTTATTTGTGTTGACTCAGTTACAGCACAAATTGAATTAAGAGCCTCGCCTTTATAAAATAAAACCAAAAAAAAAAAGGGATAAAGATACCAATGTACAGACAAATGGTATAATGCAGATATATGAATGAATTAACTTTTTGTTGTACCTCGAAAACCATAAGTTTCCACTTTGCTTAAGCCTTCAAAGTCATAAAGTTTTGAAGTATGATTTCTCAATGCCATAGCTGGTCTATCGCATTCTAGAATTCCCACACCATTATCTTTGACCTTTGCAAAGCAAAAGTTCAGGAACCTCGTTAATAACTTTAATAAAATTTCAATAAATTTCAATAAACTCGATTATTTAAATACATACGGTGATAGAAGTTAATCCATCGCCCACTAACTTGACTTCGATAGAAGTTGATTCAGCATCGATGGAATTCCTTTATTTAAAAAAAAATTCTTAAAGCGTTTAACGGTTGAATTAGCGTCACATATATATATCTATTAACGAAATTTGAAATTTACTCGATAAGTTCTTTAACGACGTCTTCTACTTTTGTGATAACTTGTCCACTTGAAATACGTCGTATAGTTGAATTATCTAGAGAGCGAATCATAATTTCTTTTTTTTTTTATTTAAAATATTTGAGTGGGAGATACGCGTTTTTTTTTGGTTTTATTGGAAAATTAGTCACGTGCAGCTGAAACGTCACACAATGTACGTTGACATAAAAGGTTAACGATAATACAAAAAAAAAGGTAAAACAAAGTTCTTAAATGCACAATAAATGCTTTATAATATGTCATGGATAAAATTCTAGTCAAAAAATTTTTTTTAATCATTAAAAGAAACAACAAAGCGAAGGAAAAAAAAAAGAAAAAAATAATAAAAAAGGGTATTTTGGCGAATGGCAGTCCAACCAGCTCACCCAGCAATTTTAACAACCAATCACTCAAGTGTGCTACCTCACTGCCACTCGGTGCTGCAAGTTTTCCCTGCTCTGTTTCCAGCCTCGGGCAAATTCCTTGCTATTTAAGAACCTCCTGGCCCAGAATTTACATTCAAGCCAGAATGTTCACACTAAGTTCAAGTGAGACACTACTATCAACGTGGGGCGTTAAGAATTGTGAATCTGAATGAGGATTATTCCACCACCCTGTCCTCCAGAAGCAGAGCTACAGTCAACTGCCAAATTGACCGACACTATTATACATGCTGCTAAGTTTATAAAGGGCTAAAATTTTTGATTTGAAAAAATTATGGGATTGTTACTTTTATAAATACCTCGGATTTTTTTTGCTTGTATGACTTGTATCACAAAAAAAATTACATTTTTTTTTTATTTGTAATTTTGGCTAACAAATGATTAATTTTCAAAATTTGCGTTAAAAAAAATTAAAGCTAATTCTTAAAGTTACAAATTAATAAAAATAACGTTACAGCTAAATGCATTTTAAAACTTGCAATAATCTAATATTTTTTATACTGAAATTACAAATTTAATAAATTCTTTACATGATTACCGAATCTAATTAATTATTTTGAGTAGGTGCAGTTTGCATGCCTTGCATATTGTCAGAAACTACGTCTGTTTGTTGTGTGTTATTTTGAGCGTTATTTTGTTGATAAGCTTGAGAATGTTGAATCTGTTGTTGAATCAATAATTGCATATGATTATGATGTGGAATATGTTGCTCAGGAACGTGTGATACATCAATTCCATTATTTAATCGTTGTGTGATTTCAAGCGGACTTAATTCGGTATAAAAAACATGATAGATACGACCGTCATTTGAAGGCAAATAACATTCAAAGATGGTGACATGAGAAGCAGGCTGCGCAGTAACATGAGGCGCAGAATGCGCAGCAATACTTGAATACGTTCCGTTGTTATTATTATTATGTTGAAAATTTTGATTGTTATTGCAAGTATATGAGAAAGGAGTAGGTTGTTGGTTGTTGTCATTTGAACTCATTTTTTTTAGTTGTTAAAAGTGTTTTTATTGTCAAGTTATGAAGGTACTAGAGCTTATTGTTGAACTTAAAGGCTTTTCGTGGTGAGCGAAAGTAAAAGGCGTAAAAGTAAAATATTAAAGAAATTGAGTCATTGCTTCTTTTATACATATCAGAGACGGGTCAGGAAATTATAATTTTTTTACATTAATCGAACACGCGTAATAGATTTCAAAAATTTTCAAATAACAAACGATCGAAGATCAAAAGTAATACGGGGACCGTTGTTAGTCCGGAACGATCTATACTAAAAAAAATATTGCAAATGCCAATAAGCATCGACTCAATTATTAAGCGGGCGGATATCGGGACACTTTGCATAAATAAATGTTTCGAGTAACAAACAAATGGGTGACTCAGGGCGGACTCGGGGTTCCTTAAATATGTACTCACAAGGAAATTAATTTGTCGAAACGCCCCCAAAATTTGGGCATTTCATGCAATGCAGTGTACCATTCTTTCAATGATAGTTTTGTTTGACATCATAATACATTCATTCATATGACTTGTAACCTCGATTTATCGATTTTCCTTAATTTTGACCAGAATTTAATAATAATTAAATAATAATAATCGATAAATCCGACTGAAATCAAAGGACAATTACGCCATCATTTTATTTAGGAATATTAGATGCCCTCAATTTACGGGTCCTTTCTCGTAACGCGATGCTTCCTTCCTAAATTTAGCTGATGTATAAATTGCATCCGAAAAGTGTGACAGGATCTTGGGTGTAACGTTTCATTGGGGCAATCGATGATTGGGTGGTTTGGTTTTGATCAGACAAAACGTGTGACGTATAAAAACTACATGTTGATATTCACCAAAGATTTTAATTTTAAGGAAATTTTTTTTTTTTCAGATTTTTTGGGAATAATAAATATATATATATAATACATATAATACATATACAGTCAGAACTCGTCATAACGATCCTCCCCAGTTTATTATAAAAAAAATAATTTTATCAAAATTTATAAATTTGATATAACGACTTTTGTATGTTTTATTATCGCATGGCCCTACAGGATCATGCTGACCAATATTTTTTATATGAACATCAATAGTTTATTTGCGTATAATATTTGCTAAAAAATAGTAAAAATTTAAGAAACTGTAATGATAAAACTCTGTTTATCAAATCAACTAAATTACTAGTATTCATAGTAATTTCTAAGTTAGTATTGTAGAATAAATTTTCGCGTAGATTTTTAGAATCATCCATTTTTGATATTTTATATTGAGAAATCATAAGCTAATAAAAAATTATAATTATTAAAATGTAATAAATAAAAATAAACAAGAAAGTAAGAAATGGTTTAAAAAAAATGTTTATAATTAGCCGTACGTTGCTTAACGTCACGAAGTGAAGTTAACCAATATAAATACGACACACCAAGTATAGAACAAAAAAATTTTAAAAAAATCGTTTAAACGAGAATTCATTAAGTGATCGTTATATCAAGAGTTCGTATAACGAATTCTGACTGTATGTATAAATGTACCTCGTTTATAAACTAGGAAACGGGACCGCTGTGAGTCCTGAGCGAATCATTGGACGAAAATCACGTGGCGAACAGAGAAGCGTTCACATGACCAATATTTAATCAATGATTTCCTTTCGCGGATCCATTTTGCTTGAAAGAATTACCTTTATTATTTTATATAGCAAGGAGGGCTTGTTTCCGGGTACGATCGGAAATACGAGCCGCATCAGGATATTCGGGCGACCGATCACTAGAACTTAAGTAAAAAAAAAAAAATTACCTTTATTATTTTATCAAAGCAAATGAACTTATTTTGGAAAAAACGCGCTGCTACATGAAAGAGATTATTTAGAACATTTTTGTAGAATTTAAACCATAAATAATTAAGAAGAGTTTAAAAGTTATGGAATTATGAAAAAACACAGAAATTTATTATAGGATGTATTTTAATCAATAGTATGGATTTAATCAATAGTTTAATATAAAAAATTCTTCACATCCGTAAGGTCATGGAGGGTACAATTTAAGGTCGCAATTCCACGGCTGTACATTCCTGCAATGGTCGCGCTACCACACTCGTCTTGTGAGAATCCCTATAGTAAATTTTTATAATTATCAGTGTATGATTTTGGACATGTTTGGTGAATTTCCGCACGTTTCAAAAAATATTTGTGCGCAGTCCGCACTTAACATTTCTTATACATCATTAGTAAAGTATTTAATACATAATATATTGCGCACTATCATTTTCGCACAATATTCTCATCATAATGGGAGGATTTCTAGGAAAATCAGATTTCGAGAAATTTGACTCTAAAATTAAGAGCTTAATGCATTTTAATCTTAAAAATTCCCGGAACTTGATTTACCTATTTAGTTCCCCGTTTCATAAAAAAAAAAAATAGGCAATTACATTTGTTTGATTTTATGATAAAAACGTGCTTTAAATGTAATTAATAAAAAAAAAAAAAATTTTTTCTTTTTGGTAAATAAAATTTATTATAAAATAAAATTTTTTATTTATACTGTTGGAGAAAAAAAAATTTATTTGGATCGTCATAAAAAAAAAAAAAAATTGTATTTAATTACAACCATTTTTTTCTTAAATTCCGTCTCACTCTCCCTCTTTTTAAACTGTTAAAATGAGTTTGATTTTGAAATTTCTTGGTGCCAAATGGTACAATGATACGTACAGTCAAACAGTCAAATAGTAACTCAAAGCACACACTATATATTTTCTCTCTAAATGCACGCTCTCGTTCAGTCCCAAGCATATAAAATTCATATAGAAATTCTCTCTTTAAATGCACATTTTTTAAATTTTTCACTATGGTCCCGAGGGGGTGCATTTAGAAAGGGTTGACTGTAGATGAGTTTTTTAATGGAGTTAGGTTCCCTACACCCCCTTCCTTATTTTCACAATACCTGTGGATGGAAACCCTTTTACGAACGTGATACGTGAGGTAGTCAGAAATTATTAATCACTTCCAAAACCGTTTGACTGATTTTTATTAAAGTGTTAAAAAAATTTTTTATTATAATTTTATCGTGGTTATTGTTTTAAAATGTCAAGGAAATTTTTAATTATAAAAAAAAAAAATAATATAACTTTTTGTAATAAATCCATTAAAACGGCAGTACCGTATAGCGCTCTTTAAGGTATCTCCCTCCTGCAAAATAATTTATGAGTTATGTTCGATGATTATAACAATTGCATAACCGAAAAAAAACCAGTCAAATAAATTAAAAAAATAAGTGTTTTTAAAACATGAAAGTATTCTTAAAAATTTTTTATAGTTATAATTTTTTTATTATCATTGTTCTAAATAAATATAAATAAATTTATATTTTGAAATGAGAATATTAAGTTAAGAATATAACTAATTTACACCCAGGTGCAGTGTTGTGATGGGACATGTCCCATATGTGCTTGGGACAATTGGGACATAGTGTCGGACAGTCTTATAATGCTTGGGACATGAAAAATGGACAACACTGCCCGGGTGATCATATGTACAGTGCGCGACAAAAGTCTTCAGAATAAAAATTTGGTATAGAAAAACTTCAATAATTCCTGCAACTTTTAACATGTCCGTCTATAAAATCACAACGGATCCAACTTTGAAAAAAAATTTCTTGGTTCAAATTAAGAAAGTTGGAGACATATATATACATATATATATTTTTTATTAAACTGTCATACAATTTTGAAGCAATTGGCATTGAAAAAAAATTTTTAAATTTAAGCACGTACGTTACGCAATAGCCATTTTTGTTGCATGTGATAAAAATCCATTGATTTTCATATGATGATCTACACTGACGATCCAATAAAATTACGTGCACGTGACTTGCGATTTTTCGTTAATTTTAAATTAATCAACGAAAAAAAGTTTTCTAACTAACAATTATTACATTAGCTTTCTTTAATTTTCTTAAAATTAACTATTTATATTCCTTTAATATAAATTTAATGCTTTTCTTAGTATTAATTATTAAAAAACTTAGAATATTATTTGTATTTTGTTAGATCAAATTAAATATTGATTTTATTGATTTAAATATAAAAAAAAAATTAAATATTAATTTTCTTGATATAATATTCATTGTTAAAAATAAAAAATTTTACCGATAATCACTTTATTGATGTACAGAACAAAATGACTGACTTGTTAGTATAACAAATACTAAATACAAATGTTAAAATTAGAGTCCTAAATCAGATCAGGTCAACCTGTTTACCTGACCTGAACCAACCTGAAAATTCAGGTCAGGTCAATAGATTTTCAGGTTGATGTTAGGTCGGGTCAACAGGTCGACCTGACCTGATCCAACCTGATAAAAATTCAGGTCAACCAATCATTCTTCTTGAATAATTTATTATCGTTAAATTAGAAATAATAAAATTGATTAAATAAAGAGAAAACTTAACCTAGACCAGGGGTTTAAGTTGCTTATCCTAGACCCCCAGGGTTCAGACTGGTTAATCTAAACCTGTAACTTAATTTAAAAATTTTATATTAATACATAATCTGCATATATTATCTTTATATTATAATAAATTTTTTTTATC